CGCCCCTGCCCGCCGACGTGGGCGCGCTCTCGGCCGCCTGCTCCCCCTCGCCGCGCGCGGGACTCAGCTCAGTTCCAGGCCGGGGATGCGGCGTGGGGACACGTGTCCCGGCCCGCTTCCCCCTCCCTCCGGGTCTTGCCGGGGTGGTGGGATTTAGGTCAGGGGGCTGCGGGTCTTGCCGTGATGGAATCGGGCACAGCGTCTCAGAGCCACTGCAGGCGCTGCAGGCTTGGTGGCACTCTCGCTCCCAGAGGGCAGCTTGGCCCTTTTGTCTTGATGCCCCCGGCTCGGTAGCCCCCAGGACGGAGGGAGACCACCGTCCTTTTATGACTTGTGCGGCTCAGGGGGCCTGGCCGTGTTAGGTGCGCAGCTTTACGTCCATAAAAATGACAGTGACCCCGCTTCGCTCTCATTCTGTCTGGTAATTCCCATGTTTTATGTTGTAGAAACAGCTCAAGGAATTAGAACCCAGGTCTTCTGACTGCTGTAAGCTAGCGCTCCTTCTGTACCCACACCCTTTCGATTTCCCATCCCATTTCTCTCTGGATTAAATGGGACCGGTTTTCAGGATTTAGGTGAGAGGTGACATGCCAGAGCAGGCTCTTCCTGGCCTCCTTCCTTTCCTCCCCGTTCAGCATTTCCACCTGTCCCCACAGTCGTAGGGCTTCATGTGACATAGCACTTACAAAGATGTTTCTTTGCTGGTGTCTCCCTCCAGCTGGGCTGCGAGGGCCTCTGAATTTGTACCTCACGTACAGAGTGTTAGAAGCAGTGTAGCTGGACTTATGGTTTCTCCATCCTGCTTAATTATTTGCTTTTAAGTTTCCCCGTTATTCCCTAGCGAATGGCCTGTTGCATTGACCCTCGCCTTTTGTGTAGCAGGGAAGCCTCGTCAGGGGTGTGTGCTGGTACGCTACTCTTTTCATTCTTTTTAGACTGGGGTAATGATTTCTATTCAGTTTCTCTTTCCTTCTGGAGAGAAAGCTCTATCTGCTTATCTGCTTTGTAAGTAATAAGGAAGCTGTCTTATTTGCATGTACATGTTGTTTTGTTTCAAAATTTTGCCTACAGCTTTCTGGCTAATCTTGAGTATCTCTCATTTTCCATTTGCTTCTAGAGTGGGGCATGGGTACCCGATCCTTTCAAATTACATTTTCAAGATACATAGTTTCGCATCCCTTTAGAGAGTGGTCTTGTGTCCAGACAGGGCCTTGTGTGGGTCATCTTTGGCCAGTTTCTACATTCCCTTCCTATCACGTTGGGGAACATCCCACGCTGTTGATGAAGTAGTGACTGCTGAGAGCACCGCCCACAAGCCTTTCAGGACTTAAGGACGTAATCGTGAGCCTGAAGCCACCTTGTTAGCAAGGCACAGGCCCCATCGGAGGCACTTCTCTATCACGTTTTCTCATTGAAAATGTTCTAGTTCATGTGCAGATGACTTTGGCCTATTTCTGACACTGGGGCGTTTGTTCTAAATTTGGGAAGTCTGCTGTCCTGGAGGGGTAAATTATCTTAGCGTTTCCTCTTTCTTTCCCCAAAGAATTTTAAAGAGTAGTTTATGCTGACCTTCCAGGTCTTGGCACTGATCGCTTCCTCCGTCACTAACGCCCACCACCGCATGTCACGTTTGGCACGGAGGGCAACACTCTGCGTCGTCGTTCCCCGAAGCACATCGTGATCTCCGGGTTCCTCTGGTGTTGTGCATTCTGTGGGTTTGGGCAAATGTGTGTGATGGCTGTTTGTCGCTGTAACACCCTACACGTGTCTGTGGACTTCAGAATCTGCGTCCTTCTCGCGCTTGGCCGCCGCTCATCTCTTCCTCATTCCCGTAGTTTTGCATTTTCCACGGGGTCGCCGAGTTGGAGTTTGCAGTACGTAGCCTCGGCAGATGAAGTTGCTTCAGTGCGCGTGCACAGCGTTTCCTCCACGTCTTCTGCTGGCTCGATGGCCCCTTTTGCCAGCACGGAGTGACAGCCCGCTGACGGTGTCACCTGCTGAAAGCCGTCTGCTGCCCCCAGGTCTGGCAGCCGTGACGGGAGCTGCGGCAGACGCCACTTTGCCGTCTGTGTGCGCGAGCCTCTCCCTTTGCGTGAACGCCCAGGGCGGGCGCTGCTGAATCAGCCGCGAGAGTTGCTTAGTTTTGCAGGAAAGCCCGGCCGTCTCCCAAGCAGACTGTACCCTGCTGCGCGCCTCCAGCAGTGAGCGAGGGCCCCGGACCCCACAGCCTCGGTGGCATCTCGTGCGGTCGGTGACCCAGATCTCGGCCACTCCGATAGGCTAGTGATGGCGCTTCATTTAAATTTGCATTTTTTGGGGCTGACATGTCATGTGGAGCATGCTTCCATGTTCTTTTTTTAAAAGATTTATTTATTTGTGTACACAAAACTGGGATACAGGCTGGAGGTGCAGGGGGTGAGAGGCTTCACCGGAGCCAGAGTGGGGAGCAGCACAGGCAGATGGACAAGGTCCACTGCCGAGGGGGCAGCGGGGAGACAGGAGGGGTCTGCCGCGCCCTGGGGTCACCTCCGGGGCGGGGGTCGAACTTGCGCTGAAGCGGCTGTGGCCGGCTTCGTAGCGCTGCGCTTTACCCGCTGTGGCGCCAGGCAGGGCCCCTGTCCGTGCTCCGATTTTCCACCGTGGGCCCTCTGGGGTGAGTGGCCATGGCCCATTTTTAAAATGGAACTGTGTCCCTCCGGTGGGAGCCGCGTGTCTCGGACAGCCGCCCTTTATCAGAGGTGCTTTCTGTGAGCATCGTGCCCAGCCCGTGTCTATCTGAGTCGCGCCTTTGCAGAGCGCGGGTCTCGCTGCAGCGCCTAGCGACGGCCTTCCCACAGCTGGTGTCGCGGGGCCACAGCGAGGCCATCTGGGCCTCCCTGTGCTGCCTTCTGGGAGCTTCTGAGCTTTGCGCTTCACATTTCAGTCTGTGATTCGCTTGGGCCAGATGCTGTGCAGGCAGCGGGGGCTGTGGGGTGCCCATGCTGGTGCCAACCCTCCCCCGCCAGGGGTTGGAGGACGGTCTCTGCGCCATCGTCCTGCCTCGCGAGGGCGCAGAGTGGCTTCTCGTTGGGTTTTAATTTGCAGTCGGCTAGTAACTCCTGATGTTGAGCATGGCCCTGTGATCAGTCGCTGGAAATGTCAGTGTCGCCCTCAGGCTCGCAGGGTGGGCCGGGACAGGCATCGGAGGCATTGTGAGGGGAGGACCAGGGTAGAGGCGACTGGAGTTTCGTAAGGAGCGTGTGAGGGGCGTGAGGGGCGAGGGCAGGCGGCGGCCTCTCCCTCAGCATCTTGGGTTTCCCACCGAGGCCATCCCGCGCCCGCGGTTGTCGTGGGGACCCAGGTGCGTCCGGCCTCCCAAGGCTGACGGTGCGTTTACACTTGCTTTTAAGCAGACTGTTTTTTTTCTTTGAAGATTTATGTGTTTGTGCACACAGACTGGGGTACGGGCCAGAGGCGCTGGGGGTGAGAGGACTCCCCAGAGCCAGAGCGGGGTGCAGAACAGGCCGACGCACGAAGTCCACGGCTGAGGGGAGCAGCGGGGGGCCAGGAGGGGTCTGCCGCGCCCCGGGGTCACCTCGGGGCTGGGACCCTGGATGGGGCTCGCGCTGAAGCGGCTGCCGGGCGTGCAGTGCTGCGCTTTAGCCGCCGCGCCGCCAGGGAGGCCGCTTGGAGGCAGACTTCTGACGAGACGTGACCACGTCGCGGGAAGAACACCCACTCACGTGTAGAGGATGGCGGGGTCCCGGGGTGCTCAGAGGCTCGGCCCGTGCCGGGCCCGATTCCACGACACCCTCGTTCGCGCCGTGTAGATCTGCAGGAGAACCGAGTCCCACAGGGTCGCGCTGCTCGTGGCCGGCCCCTCGCCGCGTTGGGGCCGGGGGGCGGCTGGCGGGTGGTGTCCGGGGCCCCGGGTGCCCCTGTGGCGCGGCTCCACGCCCTGGGTCTTCTCCGCAGATGGTGCCCATCCCTGCTGGCGTGTTCACCATGGGCACGGACGAGCCGCAGGTCCGGCAGGACGGGGAGGCCCCCGCGCGGAGAGTGACCCTGGATGCCTTCTACATGGACGCCTATGAAGTCAGCAACGCCGACTTCGAGAAGTTTGTCAATGCGACTGGCTACTTGACGGAGGTGACGGCGCGAGGGCCGCGGGCTGCCTGGGGTGGTGGCTGCGCTCGGCTCTTCCTGTGCTTACCCCGCTCCTCACAGCACTCTGGGGGGCGGGCGCTTTCTGGGGGCCCCCCGGGCGTCAACAAACAGGGTGACCCTGAGCCGCACAGCTCGGCGTGGACGAGCCGAGCCAGGCGTGGCCGCGGTGACCCCAGGGCCCTGTGCGTCAGTGTCGGGCCGAGTGGCGTCCGAGCACGGTGGCCTGGAGCGCGTGGGCCCGCGGCTCTGAGGCGCAGGCACGGGCCTCTCCGCTCAGATAGCTGCTGCTGCGTGAGGCAGGCTCCTCTCACGGCTCACAAGTGGTTTGCGATTTTACTTTGATATCTGAAGACTGAGCGGCTCCCCTGGGCCCTCCTGGCTTCCTCACGAGCGCAGAGCGCTCACAGAGGCCCTGAGGGAGGATGTTTGTCCTGGTGGCAGATGGAGCCTTTGCGTGGGTGAAGGGTTGTGTCAGATGCGCCGGCCCGCAGCTGCGCAGCTGTGGCGGATGGGCCTTGTGTGGCCGGCAGTTTGTGGGCGCCCGTTCTGGGTGCTTTCTCAGGCCCAAACCATCTTTTTTTTTTTTAAAGATTTATTTCTTTACGCACACAGAACTGGGGTACAGGCCAGAGGTGCAGGGGCGGTGGGAGGATTCACCAGAGACAGAGCGGGGAGCAGGACAGGCAGATGGACGAAGTCCACTGCTGAGGGAGCAGCGGCGGGTCAGGAGAGGTCTGCCGCGCCCCGTGGTCACCTCCGGGGCAGGGATCGAGCTTGTGCTGAAGTTGTTGCAGGGAAGTCCAGAGAGCTGCTTCCCAAGTGAGAGAGTGCGAGATGCAGTCGCCATATTTATCCCCCAAATGTCCCAGGACGCCGCCAGCTCCGCCCTTGGGTCCTCGCACTTCTCTCCCTGGGGCTGCCAGTCACAGGAGTCGGGGGCGGGGTCCACAGGACTGCGGAGTTCCTCAGGACAGCCTTCCCCTTGACAGCCCCCCCTTTTGATTTCATGCCCCCATCTGTGGTGGCACAGATCGCAGGGTGCGGTCTCCAGAGACGGGCTCCGGAACACTTCCGTTCTCTGTAAGGTTTCCAGCGTATGCAAAAGAGGCAGCGGTCACCAGCAGTGCTCATGAATGCCAAGGACGATGGTCATTGCTGGACAATAGTCCATCAGTATAGGTGAAGAGGAAAAGAGTATGTGTGTATGTGTATAATAACAGGAACAAGCAAAAAAGCTTCAAAAACTGGCTTGACTTCGGTAAAAAACAAGTTCTCTCAACCTTGATCCCACTTAATGTAAGAATGGGCAACATGTTTACCAATTCAAGCTACCTTGAATTTTTCTATTTTTGCATAAAGTCACAGGGTCGACTAAGCCAACAGCAATTTTTAGATGCGCTTGTTGGAACAGCCCATAGCTTCGAGCGGACAGTCGCTGTCCAGGTGACGTGGGCTGTAGGAACAACATTAGTTCCGGCAGATCCCACCTGGGGTCACCTCTTCTCGAGGTTCCAGGGCTCAATATCGTCCAGTCCGGGTTGTCCAGGCCGTGCAACGGGGGCCAGCTTCCTCACCTTCCTTGGAGGCCCCTGGGCCCTACCAACGAGCAGCAGATGCTCATCTTGCTTCAGCTCTGTGTGAATCCCGGAGAATGCCACGCAAAGCCACTGAAGCACGCTGCCAATTTCTTTAGTTGAAGCAGACAAAATTCCTTATTGAAGTTATGCAAAAACAGACTCGTGAGTAGTAAAAATTACTACTACAGTTTTTATATTGTGTTGGTATCAAGGGGAGAGAAGAAATAGAAACAAAAATTAGCTCTGTTGGAAAAAAAGGAATATTATTGTAGATTTTCGGCAGTCAAAACAAAAAAAAAACTGTCTTTGAATTAAATAAACAAAAATGTCGTTAGTATTTCAAACAAAACTTAGTCGAATCACTATATTTAGTTCTTGTGGAAGATATTTTCCAATATCAAAAGTTCAATCAGTTAGAATCTGTGGAGAGCTGTTACTGGAAACAAAAAAAAGTTTTTGTTTTCTTTAGAAATAATTTCTACACACACTGGGCTGTCGGATAAGTACGGCAAAACAACGATCAACATTCAAAATGTACATACATATCAGATACATATCAAAATTTTCCAGAGACAATTTCTGCAAATACCAGACTAATATATATGACGAGATAATGATCAACAGTCTCAATTTACGGACATATCAAAAAATGCCTTTTTTCACATGTTTTAGAAAAACGAGGGCAACAGCTGTGCTCCCTGCAGGTTTCCCGCTTTCCAGGCGGCAGGGCCCTCCCAGGGTTACTGTGGTTTGTGGACCGAAGGAGGCGAAGGGATCTGAGTGCTTTCCCCAGGGGAGGAGAGATGGTGTGGGGCGTCTCAGGAGCTGCACTGAGGCTCCACAAGACTTCCTTCAATGTGCCAATGACAAACTACCGAATTTCAGTTCAATTTGGAATTCTGGGAAGCTTTGTCACAGATATGAAGAAGAAAAAAAAATAACAGCAAAGACAATCCCAATTTCGTGAAAGCTCCGGCTCAGTTCAGTGCGACAATTGTTGACACTCAAACCACAGCCATGTAGTTTCCCTATTTTCCTTATGTTATAACGAGAGACTTTTTTTTAAAACCTTAGTTATTCCAAACTTCAATGTGCCTGACATTATGAACCTCAAATAAGACAAATATATATATATATATACAAACATACATACCAATACCTGTTTAGTCATTTTTTTTTTAACAAACTAGTTACCATCAAGATTACAATTTCGTTTGTGTGTTTACAACAGCGGTGGGCGCCATCCAGACCAACTCAGAACACCTCGAGGCCAAGACAATAAACACAAGTAAAAGACACACAGACATTCAACCTACAGACACGGACAGTATTCTCGGTTATGCCACGTGGAATCATATGTAACTGCAGTTTTACTCATATAGGCCAAAAATGATTTAAAAAACAAAAAGAATTAGGAGAAAAAGTTTACAAAAAGATATCAAGAACAAGACGGAAGGCCATATTATGTAGTAAAACCATTTTTTTTAATACTGCTAACATAATTGCACGGAGTCACAGTAATATTCCTAAGTGTCTCCAAAGGAAAAGGAATAGTGAGCGCATCTGTCATCGCAGGGTCCTTCAGAAAGTGCATTTTGACGGACACTGCCGCATTGCTGGAAAGGATGTTCTACCGTTTAAGGTTTTTTTCTTTTAAATAATGTCTCAGGTCTTCAGTAAGTCCCGCGGGCCATGTCAGTGGGCCATGTTGGCTCTCTGGAGCCTCTGGGCTCCCTGGTCTTCACCTGAGTCTCTGGTGTATGCGCCGTCCTCTGTCTCTTCCCCAGCAGTCGTCGCTTGACCTCCGGCACCCTGCTTGCGTCCTTCCTCTCTGCACCGAGTCTCTGCGCTGACCGTCATCGGCCTCCTTCCCTCCTGCCTCGGCCTGGGCTCCGGTGCTCTGCCTGTGTCCTCTCCTGTCACCTCTGCGTGGATCAGTGGGGCGCTCACCTTCTTCCTTGTCTCCTGTCCCTGTAACGTCTCCTGTTGACCCGGAGTCTGGGACATGCGTCCAGTGTCCCTCGCCCTTGCAGTGGGCACACGGATTCCTTCCTAGAGGCTCACGTCTCTGGGTCCACCTGCCGTTCTGAGGTTTCCCTGAAACTCTGTTCTGTGTTGCCTCTACGACAGCAGTCGCAGGCTTAGGTCTCTTTTCCTCCCTGTTATTACACACTCGGAATGCCAGGTCCGCTAGCTGGGATGGACTCACCTGGGTGACGCCATCCACCTCGGCACTGTGGGCAATGCACGCCCTAGTGGTCGGACGAGCATTTTCTGGGGCATCAGGATCTATATCCGTGCGCCTGGCACACATTTGGATAATCCGCTCGAGGAACTCAGATGGTCCTCCTAGCCCCCTGCTCCAGCTGCAGAATTTTATTAAAATTCTTTTGCTCGGGAATCCCTTGCTGGAGCCCTACCAATAAACACTTTCTGTAGAGCTCCAACATGCCACGTCCCCTTCACTGGGGTCCCCGTTGGGATCCACCGTCGGGACGGCCACGCCTGCTTCTGGGGATTCTTCCTCCTGGTGGAGGCGGTCAGCGGCCTCCCTGGCTTTCTTAAAGACCGTCCTTTGCTCATCTGAGGTCAATATATTTGCAACATTGACTGGGATCTGCCCGATTAGGACGGCGAGAGAGAAAGAGAGGCAGACAAGTGCGCCATCCTCCTAGGGTCCTGCCTGGAAGAAGGAACAGAGCTCCGGCTTAGGAGGTCTGCTGTGCTGAGAGGCTGGGGTGGCCGAGAGCACCCAGCGGGCCGGCCTTGTGCCTTTAAACCGCCCACCGCCATGCGTCTGAGAGGGAACTGCCCTGCTTCAGGGCGATTCTTACTTCCAAAAGGTGCCCCGTCTAGTATGGGGAGGAGAAAGCATTTAAGTTCCTTCCCCAGAGGGCAGTGGAGGCTGTGAGGGATCAGGGATTTCCACAGGAGCCTTAGGAGTTTCCTCAGGAGGGGTGTTGCTATTCCAGGAACAATTCTTTCCTGAAGGGTTTAAGGTGTGCAGCAAGTAAAAATCCTCTTCTAACTCCTGCAGTCCTCAGGGAGAGGCTTATTACCCTTCTCCATGCCATAATACGTACTGGGTCACACCTAATTTATGGAAGGCACCTTGTGGAAGGCACCTTGTATCTGGGCTTGCATCCAGCCGAGGGCAATCCCATTCTCATTTTTAATACTATTTACAACCGAATTCAGGGCCTGTATTTGCTGCTGGATGTTTTCAGTAAGAGCCTGAATTTGTTGCAAATTTGTAGTGGGAGAAGCAGAGTTTCCTCCACTTGAGCTCACAGAGCCAAAAATGGAAAAAGTGATGTTGATGCAAAGTATCTAGAAGACGCCCAGAAGCACAAACTGCAAAGCGGGAGTGGCTTGGAAGCCACCCAGAGGGGAGAACAAAAGCAGCAGCATTTGCCATAAACCAGATTTCACCAGATTGGCGGAAGTAATAAAACTGGTGGTAATATCCAGTGGGAAAGGGTACTGAGACTTAAGGCCAGAACAAAATTTGTCAGAGTCATAGTGTTCCAGGGCAGCCCAGAGTGGACCGGGCGCCTGCCTGTGGGCCTCACCGCGCTCACAGCTCAGTTACACTGCAGATGCGCACAAAAGGGTCAATGACGGGTTTATTTACAAAAGGGGAAAGGAGCAGGAACAACCCAGGGAAAGAGAGCGGGATGCAAAGTCACTGGAACACCTTGCGGCTCGGCTGACTGAACACACCGAGTCCAAGTCACACGTCTGGAGAGCCGCTTCCCCAGCGAGCCAGCGAGAGAGTCGCAGCCCGCCCTATTTATCCCGCAATGTCCCAGAATTCCCGCTAGCTCCGCCCTTGGGTCCTCGCACTTCTCTCCCGGGGGCTGCTGGGAGTTGTAGTTTGCAGCCACTGGGCGGGGGCGGGGTGCAGGAAGCTGGAGCAGGGGTGCGCCCCCGAGACTGCAGAGTTGCCCAGGACAGCCTTCCCCGACAAAGTGGCGCCAGCTTCTCAGTGCTGCGCTTTAACCCGCGGTGCCACCAGGGCGGGCCCCATATTTTCTTTAATTAAAAAGCTAATTTGGGAGCGAATGCTGGAAACAAAGCAGCGTCCACGCGGTGCGGCCGCAGAGCTGGGAGCTGCCGAGCTGTGCCCAGCGCGTCCCCAGGCCCCAGCGGTGGGCAGCCCGCGCTGCCTGGCCCCGAGGACGCCCCCTTCCGCCGCCGCCGCTCTGCCCCACCGGGCCTCGGGCAGGAGCGAGCGGCCAGACCGGCCGACCGTCGGGGTGCAGGAACAGCACGGCTGGGCACCTCGCGGGGTTCTCGCCCCCCCCCAGCAGCAGCCCCCGAGCACAGCGGTAGCCGCGCGTGGCTCTTCCACCCGCGGGAACCAGCGGTGCGTGGGCCCGTGTGCTCTCGCTGCCCGGAAACGCCGTTTGCGCCGTCTGGCC